TCGTGGTTTATTGGTTCGCAATTTTTCTTTTTATTACAAATATTGACAACTGTTTACGAATTCACGATTAAAACAGTATTGTGTGAATGCATGGTTCAGTGTTTCAGTTTTTGTCAAAACATTAAACAGTATGTAGCAATCATATTATATCATATCATTATAGAAAATTATATTATCTTACTGGTTATTTATATTTCCATTTTCTATGCATGATAAAATTTTCTAAATATTTTGAGTTATTTTGAGGTTTTTATGGACATTTTTAGTTTCCATTTTGTTTAGTTTTTTTTTCTATAAGTATCAATAAAATTTTATTTGTTGGGTATAAAAGCTTAAAAATGTAATAGAAGGCTCCTAATATATTGTTTTCAAATTTTATGAAATATAAAAACAAAGTTACACAGTAAATTTTCTCATATTTATAGTGTGAACATTTAGTTTCTTACTTTCTTAGCTTAGAATACAGCCTTAAAGTTTTTTATACCCGTGCAAAACAGTTTTGCCTATGTTGTACCTACGTTTGTAATACGGAGACAACACATGTTGGTGTACCTAGCGTCTTCTGTACAATCATACAGACTATTTGATACATTGCACTTTAGATATTATTGAATACACTATACAAATTAAATCTAATGCAATGCAGAAATATTAGGATTTAGGGTTGTGTGGGGGGCAAAGCCCCCCACGGATCTGTGAATCATAAATTATTCCAGCACCCCCTAAATTCACACCCAATGTGCGCCTATGATCATTTATTTACCACAAATAATTTGAACGATTTTAACTTAAAAATGAAACATTTTAAATTTTAAACTATTCACGTAATATAGTTTTAGAAGCACTTCTTAATGGTGTATTTAAAGCTAAAATCTGTGGTCAATATTTCTAAGTTCCAGGTTTAGAATAAATAATATTGATAATAATAACATGTATGAATTATTTATTAACAAATCTAAATTAGGTATCTATTGCTTACTTTTAATATAGGACGCTTTATGTAAAAGAACAATATTTAATTTACAACATACCTATCAATATTATACATTTTCATTTTTAATAATTGTTACAATCAAAACTAATAATATGTACCTAGGTACGGAATAAATACAATGAAACAAAAATGTAATTATGTACTGAAAATTGTAATATAATGATTATAACACGACAAAGAAATATTTATCATGGATTATCACTTATGGATTGAATGTACCTATATACTAAAATAACTACATTCTACATTCTACATTTTAAAAATTTCCAGAATAATAAGGACCTGGTTGTCTGTTTGACATCTTGAACTATAAAAATAAATCAGACAAAAAACACAGTTTATAATAAAAAAAAAACGAACCAAATAGAATATAAATTTCCTTTTAAATTATTTTAATATAATATGTAAAACATAATATTCAATCTGTCTTGGGCTACAATCAATAGGATAGTATTTTTGTTTTAATCATTCAATTATGTTGTACTTTTGTAGTATCAAGTTTATCAAGTAAATTAATAGTTGTATACTTGTACCTATTTAAAAACTAAAAAGCAAACACAAATGACAAATTATATTCCATTTTGTGTTCTGTTACATTTATCTAGTGGCCATGGTGATATTTATAAAAAAGTTCAGTTTATAAAAAGGCATTTGTTGTTAAATACAAAGACTTTTATAAGTCTAGGTACGAACGTGTAATTTAATAAATAATCTGAAAACAATTAAATCATTAGTACCTAAGTAACATTTTATGTAGTACATAATTTTATGCAGTACCTACCTATTTGGAAAAATGTATAGTTGTTAATTTAAAATCACATAACAATGAATTACAATTAATAGTGTGATTTTTAAGATTAAGGTTTTAAACAACTATCTACATAATATTATATTATATGCAAGAAAATGATGTAATTTACCATACTTTATTATGTCACTAATCGGAGAGTACATTAATTTATTTATGATAGACTAATGCATGTACACTCCCGCTGACAGTAAGTTGCGGACGGGTTTTATTTATTTTATATTATTATCTATTTTTTACCTTTTTCATATTTAAATCAATGTTATTAGTTATTACTAATCTCAATTAAAAATAAAATTATTTTATTTTATTCACATACCCAATATTACACATTTCTTGTGAAATATTATTTTGAACTTAGTTTTGACTTTTGTTTTAAAGTCCATTTTCAATTTTCAATTTTCAAAATATTTAAAACCTTAAAAATACGTCCACGAAAATTATACGCCCGGGGATAAATCCCCGACTTCCCCAGTCCCCCCCCTAGATCCGGCCCTGGTTACATAGTTGAAATAGTAGTACCTACAATGATAAGATATATTTTGTACAAACAAACAAATGAATTGACAGTGATTGTAAAACCGTAATGAATACATAAAACCGTGTTTAGAATAATTAGTTAAAAATGCAATAGTTACATTATGTACTTTGTACTTAACATTATATTTTTTCTATATAAACAATTTAATAGTTAAATTACATTTATACACATTATAATATATTTTTTTATATACAGACATGCAATTAGTAAGAAATGCAATAGTTAAATTACAATTATGTACATGACATTATACTTTTTTTTAAATAAACAATTATTTAGGTAAAAATACAATAGTTAAAATACAACGATGAAGGGACATGACATAATATAATGGTATAAAAATTTAGTAGTAAAAATATTCATACAGTAAAGTAATATTATAAAAATTTTAAAAAACCAGTAACTATAATTTGTAAAATAACGTAAGAAAATCGAAAAAAAACATGCTTACCTACATGTAAATACATATAATATAATATTATAATATAATACATAAAAAATGAAATATGGTAGATTAATTAACAAAAATTGAACGTACATACACAAAGTAATGTTAAAATAATAATAATAGTAAAGAGAAAAGATCGGAAATTTGTAAAATTACGGAAAAAAAATGCAAAAAAAGTCAGGACCCGGGCGGCCGTGTAAACCATATGGCATTGACGGCAATGAAACCCGGAGGGCCTACGACGGATTCGAACCCGGGACCTACGTGTTTACTACCTAACGCCTAACCTACTCGGACACAATTTGAGACATGCAATACGGTCAAAACATCAACACTTAAGCCGTGCGTCTACGGAGCGACGTAAGCCGATATATTCGATGTACATCGATGTAATCGCATATAATTCGCTTGTAATACGCGCATCTCCCATATATATATTTAACGGAGCGCGTTAATAATTATTAAATCAATAGGCAAAAATTTAAATTATACACGTATATACATGTATATATACGCGTACGGTCGGTCGGTCGCCGGCCTCATTTCTAAACGCGATTGCGAAGCAAACCGACCGATTTCGTAAGAAAAGCGTATATGTACGGCTTTAGAAAGACGTCAACTACACGATTCGGGCACGAACGGCGTGCGAAAAGACGAAACTGTCGGAGAAAACGAAAAAAATCGGCAAAAAAGTCCGGCCGGGAGCGTATTTTGCGATCGACATTGCGACCGCTACGGACGGCGAACGGATATAAACCGCACACCGGCGGCTTCGATAGATCGCGAGCTACGCGAATCAAATATAAATATGAGCGAAAAGTGCTAGAAAACGGTCGAAATCGTGTAAAATGTGTAAATTTCGAAAATTTCAAAAATGATAAGAAAAGAAGTGATAACGCGGTTATTGCCCGCCGCAGAATCTGAACGTTGCGATTGGCCGGGCCGGAAAAACGACACGAAAGTCGTCTATCCCCGTGGACAAAACTGGGGACTATTTGCGTTTTATAATATAAGAGATTTGCATGGGCACGCTTACATTACTGGACGACCATCGAGAGGATATTTTGTAGGGCCATAGGAAACGTTTAGTAGTGGCCTATCCACAGCGCCGCGTAATCGTAGTTTTACGATTGGAACGTCGTCGTATCGAAAGAAAAATGAATTTTGTACATTATTAATTTTATCCGGGCGCCGCTAACGAGTAAAACCAATGTGGTGGTACTGACTAAATTGGTGACAATACGTATAAACTCAACGATCATACAATGACAACAAAACCGTGAGTCATTGTGCACGACCACTGGTTGTAGTTTGTAGTGCGTCGCAGAAACAATCACCCAATAAGGCATAAGCACTGCACGACGTAAATAGTGTTATCTACGACTTGGATTTCAGATGGGATTTACGACTGATATAGTGATATCTGATATTATCCGATGCCACTCGAAAACGGCTTTTAGTTTTTACACAATTATTATTGTCAATATATTATAATAATGTCATATTAATATCAAAATACGATTCTATTATAACACAAATATTATTATAGCAATTATTATAATACAAAAATAAACACACTTTCGTCTTGTCCGAATGGACAAACACACGATACACGATACGAATGGTTTTATAGGGGACACCGACGACGATGAACAATCGCACGTTTTTGTTTTCTCTCTATTATTATAGTCTCTAGCCGTCTCTCGATACTACAACAATAGTTTGGTATAGCAGTAAGTAACTTGCTGTTGTAAAAATAATATATATAATAAACAATAATAATAAAATCCAATCGGAACAGATTAGATTATTCGGTTAAACCGTTGTTATTCGAGGACGTATTTTTGGTGGTAGTCGACTTCTATAAAACATAATACTCATTGACATTTCCTCGTCACGGTCACACTTGTTCGTCGTTACGAAACGGCGCTCGGTAATGTAAGGTATGTGTCAAATATTTATAATTTATTATTATTTTACATTATTGCAATTCGGTGCTGTGCTATGGTCCTTTTATTTTGTCGAATAGCAAATCCCTTGGGTGTTCGCTCTGAAAATGTTTTTGGGAGTGATTTAACGTTTTGGTTTTTATATCTGTAGCAGACGAGCTGTATGCAATGTCGCCGTTCATCGTTGTTACGCCAAGACCGCAATTGTAAATATTACAGACATAATATCATAGTGTAGCTGCTGCGTTCAAAACAAAACCATGAGTTCCCTATACTCGACGCCCGTAAGCAATATTACCTACCACTCTTATTGATTATTATTCGTATAAAATATTAACCAATGTCTGATCTCCCCAGATCGGTTTGATCTTTGTTTTTAACCTGATTATTGGGCCGGGTTCACTGACGTTACCAGCTGTTGTTCAAGAAACTGGATGGCTTTTGAGTGGTATATTTATTGCAACTATGGCTTTTTTAAGGTACCTAATACAATTATAGTTTATTATTGTAATGTTTAAAACTGATTAAATAACAAATATTTATTTTTCAGTTACATTACATTCACTTTCGTTATAGAAGCAATCACGATTACAAATTCTATAACGCAACTTCGTAAATTACAAATGATGAAAAGTGTTACCAGGGTATTGAAATCGGTAAGCAAAATATTCTGAGCTATAATTTACATTTTTACTAAGACTGTCATCAAGGTTATACACAATTTAAGATTCTTGTAAAAATCTTGTGCTATGTTGCTGTAAAAATTGTATACTTTAAAATATATTATTTTTTTTCAGTGTAAGGACATGATGCCACAAGTTTCATCAGTTAACTATGACAGACTTTCAAATGCTAGTACGGATAGTTATAACAGTGACAATGAAGCTCCTATTTTTGACAATCCAGTGTTACCCACATCTAGTATGCAACATACATAATACAATTATATTTATTAATTTATAATCATACACTACACAGTAGGTATATCTTAAAATGTTTGACATTTCATTAATAGAATTGGACACTATTATAAAAAGCATAATTAACCATTGTACAAATGTTACGATAATATCAAACTATTATAAATTATTATTAATCATTAATCAGGGATTCAACAAAAACACAATTTAATAAAAGTTATAAAAGTAATAAGTATTTTGTGTGTTATAATAATTCAATTTCTATCACATTGATACAGTATTAAGAGGACACTACACCCACATGTGTTGTCTCTGTCTTACAAACCCATTACATACCAAATTGTACGTTCTGAATAATCTATTTAACTCTGTTATTATTAATAACTAATCTAACTGATCTAACTGACTTATTTATCAAATTTAGAAATAAGAATATTATCTAGTAAACCTCGTAGGTTTTTTTTTTTAAACTAAAATTTTAATTTTAAAGCAAGTTATGAGTATTTTAAAATGCACAATTAACTGACAATTTTAAAATACTCATAACTTGATATTCATTTCATAATATTCTTATTTTTAAATTTGATAATAGGTCAATTCGCTTTAATACTCATTATTAATCATAACAGAGTTAAATAGATTATTCAAAACCTACAATTTACTATGTTATGCGTTTGTAAAAAGGTAACGCATGTGCGTATTGCGCCCTCTTAACTATTTTTATTGTATTATGATAAATGTAGATTTAAAAATATATTTATCTTTTGTCAGGATTCTTCTTTTAAATAAATAATGTACTATTTGTTTTTTAGGTTCTTTATTGGACTTTCCTCCTGAATCTGTTGAATTGCTTTCACTTGATAATAGGATAGAAATGGTAAAATATTTTATACTTGAATACTGTTTTTGTACATCATTAAAATTGTTAATAATTAATTCTTTCAGGGTGAAATGGTAGCAGTACTACTGCCTCCATTTGCTAAAGTGATGTTTTTTTTTTCCATCAGTGGCTATTTATTTGGTGATTTATCTATTTACTATAAAGCAATTGGACAATCACTTGTAGACTTCACATGGTAAATTGTCCATTTATTAATTAAAATAATTGTTCAATATTATTATGAATTTATTAAAACTATTTAGTGATCACAAATCAAATAATAGATCTGCTAATAAGTCAGATTTGTGTTGGGAAAATTCATCTTATACTAAACATGAAATTTATTTAAGCTATTTGGTATGTATGCAATTGCTTAGTAATAATCTTGTCAAAATAGTATTAATATTAAATTAATTGTTAAATATAGATGCTGTATATCTTAATAATAGGACCATTCACATTTTTTAGTGCCCAAAACACTAAATACTTACAAGTTGTAGGTTTTTTCATGCGCATCATTGGTAAGTTTTATTTTACCAGCAGTATATATTTTACCCATTTGGTTTTTAATGAATTTAATGTAATACATTTAATTTGTACCAACCTATTTTATTTTTTTTCAGCTATTATTGCAATGGTTGTTCTAGCAACAATACGACTGATTTCTCCGACCCAAAAGCATGGATATACACCAGCATCAAACTTTATGGCTATGCCACAACTAATAGGCGCTTCAATTTATGCGTTTATGTGTCATCATTCTATCCCATCTGTGATTTCACCAATCAAAAACAAAAACAAAATACTGCTAAAAGTGGCAGCTAACTTCTTGTTAGTATACACATTGTACATGTGCTTGTGTATGACGGGTGTTTTTGCATTTCCAAAAGTTAATGAATTGTATACCATAAATTTCACACCATCACAAGATACTGGATTATTATTTTATAAACTGATTGATTCAATATTGGTTCTTTTTCCTGTACTTACAATCAGTATTAGTTTTCCAGTTATTGCAATTACATTAAGAAATAATATCCAAGTAAGCACAACATTTATTTGTTTTCATTTCTATAAATGGGTTTAAAGTTAATTGTTTAAAAAGTGTTAAAGTCGTTGTTTTTAGAACAAAAATATCTCTTAAAGGAAAAACACTCGACCTGTAGAATAGTTGGATTTTGTAATTATTATTTTTTTTTTTATTCAAAGGAAGAATATTTCAGGTCAGATCAAAACCTGATTTAAAATTATAATTATAGAAGCTCAAATATGTATTTGAAAAATGCACAATACTTGTTATTTTTCCAGTAAAATGAGAATTTGGGCTTTGATCCTGCAAAAATTCTCATCTTGCAAATGGAAAAAAAAATCTGACATTTCAACAAGGCGTGAGAGTTTTTCCTTTGAAGTCATTTTTGTTGATATAATACACTGTATCAACTTAATTACTTTTTAGCCTTAAGGACATAATGTCAACAGTTATGCTGTATATCATACACATTAATTATCAATTGATTATAATATATAGAAATGTAATACCATATTATACTACTGCATACATAATTTTGTTACATGTTCTAAATTAAATCTATTCAATAATAAATCTTGTTAATTAATCATGTATACTCACCTAAGTAATTTATAATATGTTTTTGTTATAGGTGATGTTTCTTCCAAGCGATGCTCATTGGATCTGGAAGCGAATAGTTATACCGCTATTCTCCTTAATTACACCTGTGCTACTAGCGGCTTTTGTGACACGTCTTGAAGTTTTAGTAAGCATCTAATTTTTTTTTATGCAATACAATCCTTAATTATGTTTTAAATATAAAAATTTCATTATCTTTAGAGTTAATACAGTATTTAAGAAGTAGTTATTGTATAGAAGAAATTCTAATTGTTACCCTATATTAACCAACAAACAAGTATAGCTTTTGTGCTTGATAAATAATACACCAAATATTTTATGAGATGGAGACAAGTATTAAAATATTTAGTAATAAAAAATCTTTGTAGTTATATTTTTCCCAATCTTTTTTTTTTTTTTTAAGAATAATTTGGTCTCTGCAAACCAATTTTAGATTTTAGGTACAATCATAATAGAGTCACATAATAAATTTTTACAGATTTGTTATAAATATATATATATATATATATATATTGTTTTAATTTAATTTAAATTAATTATTATATGAGAATTGTGAATTTTTTTGGTAAATCAAGAGGAGAATTCTAAATTGTTCATTTTACTTATCAACTTATATCAGAGGGGTTATGGATGCCCCTTGACCTGTGTAATTTTGTAAATATTTAGTAACTGTAATAGTCATCAAAGTATAAACATTTATTATTAATACAAATTATGTCATGTATAAGTATAAAATGGATAGCACATTAAATTACTTCTCAGATGTATATCATTATAAAAAAAAGGTGCTCTGATGTACAGTAGGTTACAAGTGGGTCACTGTATAATGGATGGTCTTAAATTTGAATTCAATGATATAATATCATTGTACATATAAAAAAAATGATTCTGAGCGGAAATGGTATGTCAGTCTAGGTATAAGACATATTATATACTTATCTATGGTATTAAAAAAAATTTACCTATAGTAGGTAGGTACCTATAATAAATTCCAAATTAATCATATCACAATATCCATTAGGTACTTATAACGTGTTATACATCAACAACAAACACTGATACTATCATAGATATATAATATTCTACTTTAGAAGTCTCAAGTACCCACGAATAATATTATACAATCACAACAAAATAACTAAAATAGTTATTCTACGTTTTTTTTAAAGTAATTTCGTCCAAATTTGAACTTAAAATGACTATAAAAATAAACTGTACTTATGCATTTTTTAGATTTTTTGGTAACAGAATTAACTACTTACATGGAATCTTGTTTTAAATTTTGAATCTTTAGATATAAAAGTTGAACATTTTATACATTTTTAACTACAAAACAATTATTCAATTTTAAATTTCATAAATTTTGTCAAAATTCGAACTTAAAATGCTTATAAAAATAAATTGTGAATATGTATTAAATTTTTACACTTTTTGAAGCAACAGAAAAAACTAAAAAAATTGAAAACTGAAAATGTCCATAAACAGCTCAAAAAGAGTCAAAATATTTTCAAAATTGTATAGTGTAAAGGAAATGCTAATATAAACATTCAGTGAAATTTTCATGTATTTACAGTTATTCGTTTTTGAATTATAACAAAACAATGAAATCGCTATATGAGAAATCGAGTGAATATCCAATATTGTAAAATTATGAACTTTAAATGCTCATAAAAATTTAATTTGTCTTTCCAGTAGAGATTAGAACTCACAATAATTTGCTAATTTTCGTGATTTTTCCATATTTTGACAATTTTTGAACTTTAAATGCTTATAAAAAAAATTTGTGACTAAGGATTTTTAATATTTTTCATCTGCCTTTGAAGCAATATACTAGGAGTCTTCTATTAAATTTTCAAAGATTTTTAACCAACGAATAAAATTTTTTATTGATATTTTTAGAAAAAAAACTAAAAAAAAATGGAAAATGAAAAACAGTTCATAATATTTTGAAAATGTCATCGTGTATAGAAAATGCAAATATAAACAACCAGTGAAAATTTCATGTATTTACATTCATTTGTTTTAGTTACACCAAAAACCAAAATCGGTTTTGCGTAAAAATTCCTGTTTTTCCTTAATTTTTATGTGGTTTTTCCCGGCGCTTGTGAAAACTATTGGGAATTTTTAAATTTGACCTCCCGAATGCACCAACTAGATTCACTTTCCCATCGAACAGGATTTCCGCCTCAAACCGTGATGCCAGACACAAAAAAAAAATAACGCACATCATTGTAAAATCAATACATTCATCGTTCCACTCAGAATCTAAAATAACAGCTGTTATGTTATTATTTATTACTTTAGTTTAAAATGATTTGTTTATGTAAAAAAATATTAGAATTGTGACTGGTGTAGCTTTTTAAATGATAATTTTAAATTTTGCAGGTTTCGATTGTCGCGGTGTACGCTGGTACTGGTATTCAGTATGCAACCCCTGCATTATTGGTCATGGCTGCACGTGCTGAAATTCCACAACAAGTGGCTGCAATTAAAAATGATTATTGCTCACCTTTCAAGTCTAAATATTGGCCATTGTGCATTTTGATATGGACGGTAATATGTGTGATAGTATTGACAATTTCTTTGATAAGCAAAGAATTCCAATGAAAGGTGGACTCATATTTATTTTAACTTGTCGCTATATTTTGTTTGTCTACCAATCTAACTTTTCTTAATTACAAGTTACTTGAATACTTTTACTAAAAAGTTTTATTTAAGAGATATTAAGACTATGATTATTTACGTCACGTTAAGTGTACACATAATATTTAGCATAGTATATTATGTGTTGTTATTAAAAATATATATTTTTCTCAATTAAATTTTATAAAAAAAAAATATGATTAAGTAAAAAAAAAAAGAATTAATTAATATAACTCATAATTGATGTATAAAATGATTTTATTATTTAACTTAAAACTTTACAACATAATAATATGTTTTGCAAGGTTTAATATTTATTAAATAAATTCTTGTTATATTTTATTCATAATGATGGTTACATAGTTTGTTTTGTCTCCAAGAATTCTGATGATTTATTTTCATCAAACATATACATACAACTATTGTACAAACAAAAATAAATTTTGTTGAATTTAATAATCATTGTTTTTACTTTTTACTTACTACAGTGAAACCTGTATATAACGGACAGTCACGGGACCAAAATAATTGTCCGTTATAGACAGGTGTCCGTTGTAGACAGGTTTCAATGTTTTTAATCTTTATTAATATTATACGTACATACATATTATATGCATTATACACATACACAATAAATTTAATTTTAATTATTTATTACAATTACAATTATTATTTTTACATTACACACATACAATGACACATTATATTTGTATAAATGTATTAATTATTTCTTAAAAAATGATTCTATTGATGTTTGTTTTTTGAACATCGATTTGGTCATTTCCAACTAGTGATGGATAATTAATTCGCTCATATATGAAAATCCTATGTATTTTTGTCCGTTATATGAAATTGTTGTATTAAATATTAGTGTCCGTGTCCGTAATAGAAGGAGTCCGTTATAGACAGGTCGAAATACATTAGAATGCCTATCTTTTTGCCGGGACCTGGTCATTTTGTCCGTTAAGAGAGGTGTCCGTTATATACAGGTGTCCGTTAAGTCAGGTTTCACTGTATTATTTTTATTTATTCTATACTCAATTCACAAACCTTAGCGGCGACCTGTTTTCATTGGACAGCAGTGAGCTGGTAACACTCCTCTGTCATCCCCACCGACAAAGCCTGCCGTGTAGTAGAATATAGGAAATCGTTGGAAATAGACCTTTTTCCGTCCAGTGGGCGGTAAAGTGGGAATCCTCAACAGTGCCGGGTGGTAAAATGGAAATACCCAAAAGTGCTGGGCGCGCATATCCTGCACAACCGGACACTGAAATCTATACCATGGTCCTTACGAAACATAAACTTTTGATTACATCTTAAGGCGGGTTCCCACTATACACGTACTTTATAAAATTTAATAATAAGCTCGTTTCTTTTACAAATACACATTTATTTTTCTTTATTACAGTCTAGTATATAATGTTATTGTCTGATCGACCGAAAATATACATAATATATTAATATGCAATGTGTTTCTTACACTATTGTTAAAAATAATATGATAATATCTGTACCCACAGATAAGTAATCGGTTGTATATAATAATATAATAATATATATACTTATATAATAATATGTAGTACGTATTAAAAACGATTGACTTCTATAGATATATAATATACACATACAAGTATATGACTGGAGCTATCGAGGAAAACACCACGACCTGCCTGTTCACAATATTGTTATTAGTATTATTATTATTATTACTGCAGTTATTATACAATTGTGTAGTAATTGTGTCATACATAAAATATTTGATATAAGTATACATTGCATGATATAATATATTTCACTTTAATCGTCAATTTTTAAATGGCGGATGATGTTAATTTTTTTTAATATTATTTTCTTATTGTAAATATACCTGAACAGAGACGGCAAATAAGTATAATAATAATAATAATAATAATAATAATAATAATAGGTAAATAATATATACGAATTATAAACTTAACAAGCACATTGAGCTTTGGAGAACATATTATTGTTAATAATTGTTTTCAAATGTGTTTAACATTAAACTTAGCTCTCTTAAGAAATTAATATTCTTTACATGTGTGTAATTAAATAAAAATAATAAATAATTACAAAAAAAGAAGAAAAAAAAAGATAATTATGTATAGGTAGTAATATTTTTGATATTTTTCACACCCGTGCGCGAGCGCATCTTAAAAACGTTTACATAAAATTATAATGATTTAATAATTACATTTGGGAGGGATGATCGGCAGCCACGATGTGATTTGCGCTATACAAACACAGGCGGATCCGTTACATTTCAACTGCGCGCAGTCGTCGAACTGTGAACGGACTGGTGTGATTCCAAGTCACTAGCCCTCAACACTTGGCGACAGTGTTTGCACACTTCTACGTTCATTTCGTGTCTGCTGTTCCGGTTGTAGATGAACAGCAATTCCTTATTAAATTATAAAATTAAACAGATTAAATTACGATTACCATATTAATAATCATCCATTTGTAGCCCTATTGTTGTAACTCATAATTGGAAATTAAAATCGAAGAAAAAAGTGGCTCGCTCTTCTGTAGTTGCGGAGTTGAGTGTAACTCGTCATAGAGTAATTCACTGTAATGGATGTGTTAAATTTGAATCCAATGATAAATCATGGCATACGAAAAACGATTCTGAACTGAGACGATCTGTCGGCCTAATTAATAAGTTTATTTTATCATAATATATAAATATATTGCTATTGTAGTTATTATCTTATAATATTAGAAATATGGCATAACAAATAAGTAACCTTAAAATTAATCTAAATATATTGATATGCCATTGTGAATGTATATAAAATATAATAATATACGTACAATTTTTAAGCCACCGCGAATAGTATTTTTGAATTATACAACAAAATAACTAAAATCATTAGTCTTTGATTAAATGTCTATAATTTAGTCCAAATTTTAACTTCAAATGTCTTGGAAAAAAAATGTATATGAATACATATTTTAGATTTTTGGGGTTCAGTAAGAACTACTTTTCAAGCCTTAGCACTTAGAGAAAGTTTACATCTGATTATTAGTAATGTAAATACATTACTGCGCGGTCGGCAAGTATGACATTATAATTTGTCGGAAAATAGCTTTTGCGTAAAAATTCCCGTTTTTCCATAACTGTTTATTAATTTTTTTCTAATTTTAAAGAAGTGCTTGGAATTTTGTATTCCCCTCAACATACTAACTATATCACTTTCCAACTAGAAAAGATATTGATGATATAGATATTTGAATTTTTACTGTTCCAAAACGTAATGGTGACGTACACAAAAAAAAATGCATGTTGCGAGTAGTTTTAGGAGGGCTATAATAGTGCGGAAAATATATGCCCGAGCTGTACTACAGAGGAACGTATTCATACGGACAGTATATGGTAGGAATCTAAAACCGTATTTGTCCGGAACGTATATTTCCGGAATATTTTATTTCCGAAACGTATTCATCCGGACCGTATAATCCCGGAATAAACTCGTCCGAAAAGTACATTTCCGGCATCCGTCTTCGTGATAATGTCCGAACATATTTATTCGAATCATAATATTATTATATGCCCTATCAAACAGACTTGGAAATATAAGCGCAACTAGTGGTCAGCTGGAGGATTAGCCCCCCGCCAAAAAACCAACTAATAGCCCCCTCAGGATAAATTAATCTTAAATAATAGTAATACATTTATATTTTTATGTTTAGATATTTATTTAATCTACAAGAACTGTGCCCCCAGCACAAGCTTTGCTTAAAGGGGTATTGCAATATATTAATCTAAATTTTGTAAAATAATTGTATGATAGGTTCTTTACGTTGCAAAAATAAATTATTATTATTATTTAGCATATTACTCAGTAAAATGTTGTGATTATACGCACATTTCAACGCCAATGCCAACGAAATACGAATCCATCACACAATAGGCTTAAATTCTTAAGACATTTTATAATTTTACTTGTTTAGTTGAGTTTCTTCAGTCTTGTAAAGTGTATCTATTTATATTTTGTTGTCAATTCATATATTTTACCAACGCGGATAACTTTATTATTACGGTCCATATTTAATATTTACTATTTAGTTAAAATTGTTTTATGTAGGACGTAGGTACCTGGTACCTACTAATATACCTTTTTAAAAACTTATTAAATTATAATACATAATAATGATAGATTTGAAACAACTTGAAACAATGTGAAAGCGTTCATTAGTAATAATAAAATAAATACGAAACTAGAGTAAGAATTATTATATTGAATAGGCATTGAATAGGGCAAAGATCAGCATCGTGTCACTTTTTAGGAAAATGTTTGGAGAGACTAGCACCCCCACCAATTATATGAGCTAGTTGTATTACTGCTTAGAAAAAACTTAATATGATATTAATAAAATACAATTTGATTACCTACCACGTTATGTTTATAATTTATATGTCACATATACTAAATCGTTGTGATGTATTAGTAAATAAATTACCTACACTGTACACACTTTAAAGAGGTTAAATTCACGTATATATTGCCACGTTCAAATTGATTGTAGAACCTACCCTATAAAATATAGATACCAGAGCTGTGCTAATAAGGGGGTGGCAAATGAGGCAAGTGCTCAAGGGATCCATAGGTTTTTAGTTTCCGTGATTATACGGTCTGGCACTATACGTGAATACAAATTCCGGAAATAAACGTTCCGGACTAATACGGTCTTATGTTTTTAGATTCCGGTTATATACATTCCGGATAAGTACATTATACGGTCGGACACCATACGCGGTTACAAATTCCGAAAATATACGGTTTTAGTTTTTTACAATCCGGTTGTATATGTTCCGTACAAAGACGTTCCTGAATTTATACTTTCCGCCTATACATTTTCCGGAATATTATGACCTTCCGGAAAACATAATGACAAAGAAGCAGGAAGAAGAGAGAGCGCGGCAGGCGGCAGAGGGAAGGTGATGGGGACCTTCCTGTAGGCATCTGTCCTGACTCACTGATTCAGACCGTCATCCGCCGCTATAACACGAGTGGCGAGCACATGCCAGCTCACGACGAGGAAACTCAGAAAGTGACTTCCGAAATACTGTATGATAATATTGTGAGGGGGTAAGGCGGGGTACGTCTAGCCTATCCCTATGTGGAAAGGCCAGAGCTAACATTGTACACTCTCAGGCTGCCAGGGACCTACACACATATATATATATATACTAACAATCGCTACGGATAGGGAAAGCAGACACTGGCTTCCGAGTTCCGGAGTGTATGGAACCAAATTGCAACAAATTGTTGTATGTATTAAATATTAATTACTAAAAACAAATTCTGGACCTTGGGTCGAAAAGGGCCAATCTCAATTTTAGTCACTTTGTAGTAATCAAGAATAAAGCCTCCTTTTTTTTTTGAAAATTCATAGCAATTTTTTTTTTTTATTGTTCATGTTTTTGTTTTTGTGATGGATGTAAATATAGTTTACCCTACATTTTAGAGTATGGTGTGAATTTATTAGTGAAATATAGAAGGTTTTCTATTGACATTGGCCCTACAAAAAAAAAAAAAAAATCATGACTTTGGCCCTTTTAGTGATCACTATAAGGGCCAAAGTCATGTTGTTTTTTTTTTATAGGACCAATGTTGTCATTTTCATGGGGCCAATGTGAACATTGGCCCCATATATTTTGTAATTTTCATGACATTGGCCCTCTCATATCTCGCACTAATGATTATTGAGATACGCCCTTTTACCTCTAGAAAAAGCGTATTAAGTTTTATGAGATTGGCCATATAACTCATTTTCGCCAAAAAGTGAGATTGGCCCTTTTAGACCCAAGGTCCAGAATTAATAAACGATGGCGGCTTTATCGACGTAACGCTTAAGCAGTTCCGGCAGCGTCGTCGATGCCACAAAAAAAAAGTAAGTAGTTTTATCATAATTAATTTTATAATTTATTCATGTAGGTACGTACCCTCTGCTTTTGGATGTCGGGCAACAACAACACGAGTTCCTGGAATACGGACTCAAAGCTGTGCGGGGCCAGTGCTTCGACACAGTACGAGTAGAAATCGAATGCGGTGATGACATGTTTGCGGAACAGCGTTGACATCTCTTTGAACTTCTCGAAAGTGTCAAAACGTTCGTCGCGGGCAGGTATGAGCGCGGCCATCAGGTTGTTGATGAGCACTTTGTTCCGGACGGACGAGCCGACTGGGTGCAAGTACTCGAACGGTTTACCGCCGTCGCCTCCGCTGTCCGACAGCGACAGACCGGGCGGCGCTTTGACCCGGTGATGGTTCTGCGCTGCGGGCGACGGTCCACGGTTACCCGACAGCCCGGGAGGGGCTCTGACTTGTTGCTGTGGCTGTTGCTGGTACGCGTTCTCGAAGCCCGGCGGTATTTTCGGCGTCGGCATTTTGATATAATTGTTCTGCAGCTGTTGCTGGTGATGATTTTCCTGCTGTTGCTGGTGATGATTGTCCTGCTGTTGGTGCCCGGTTGAGGTAGGTTGTTGTTGTTGCTGTTGTTGTTGTTGTTGTTCTCCTCGAATTTCGGTCTTTTTCCTCTTCTTCTTGTCCTTTGGGTTGTTGGCGTCCGACACGGATTCTTCGTCGGGTTGAGCCACCGTTCGACCGACCAAAGCAGATTCTTTCTTCTTGGACTGCTCTCTCTTCGGCACTTCTACCGGGGCTGCAGTGGCAGGCTTTATTACTTCAGTCTTGCCGGCGACCGCCTTATTATTCGTCGAAGTAGCCGTCTTGATTTCGCCGTTGCACATCTGCACCGCGTCGACGGTTTTCGTATTGGGCTTGTTGCAGTTTTCCTTATTGCTGCTGTTGCTGTCCACGGTTTGAAGGTTCTTTTTCCCGTTTTGAACAGTACCACTGCCGCTGCCGTTGATTTCTGCTGGAGCGACTTTCTTCGAGTTTTCCGATTTTTTCTTGTTGCCGCCCAACTTAGCCAGGTTGCTCTTGGACGGTTCATATTTTTTGTTCAAATTTGGAAAGTCCGACGGGCCTGGGACCTTGGGCGCCTCTGCTATTTTCTTCTTGATGGCCGCTGGTTCTTTTTTAACCTTTTTTTTCTCATTCTCGTTTCCCGTCTTGGCTTTGGACACCCAACTGCCACCGCCCGAACCGCTGGCCGCCGCCATCTCCTTGTTGGCAGCCAATCTGGGGTGTTGATGGTTTTGTTGCTGCTGCTGTGGCTGGTGGTTTTGGTTTTGGTTGCCGTCTAGCGACGGAAAGTCCCTGGCCTGGTTGGGCAACCGTGGGCCTGAAGGCACCTTGGCGTCTTTGTTTCGGTCCGGTTTAGGGGGTTCCGCTGGTTTTTTTAGCACCGCGGCCATTCGGATGCTGTTCACCGGTGGTTTCTGAGCCTTGGGCGCCACCGACGGCTGCGGGTCCTGTCCCAATGCGGGAAACGAATGTAAATCTCGTGTGTTGACCGATTGGTTTTGTTTCCTGGTGCGGGCACATGGCAACACCGTCGTATGCTGACCATTCAAAGACGGGAAGTCTGCTGTGTTGCGCACGTTGATCGAGCGATCCGATGAGGTCGCCGCGGATGGCTCGGGTCCGCCGGAAAAACTGCTGCTGTTGTAGCTATCATGGTAACTGTACATAAATTATGAAAATTTTTGTTAAATGTAAGTGTCGCAACAAAGGTAATTATCTTATTTATTTAATAAAGCCGATCTATTTAATTGACTACGCTAAAATGTCCAGGCCGTTTTTATGGTTTTTGAAACAAGTTCTGGCTAGGCTAAATTCCATTAAATTACAATTTTAGAAAACTATAGTGTAGAAGTGTATACACTTAAAGATTGCTTACGTAGTTCAATTAATTACTGTATACATATTCTACTCACGAATAATCAGATGGTGGTTGGCGGGGTCGGGGTGGTTGGTATTGGTTTGGTCTGCCTGCTTCAACGGTCGGATTGTGTCGTGGTCGTAAGGTAAACTCAAGTTTTAAGGTACGCGCTTCTTTGTATCCTTGTTTTCCCAAATCTCTGCTGTGTGTTTGCGCTTTATGAGCTAATATGCAAAAACAAACGAATACATGACCGTGATAATAATATTCTACGAAAACAATAATTGTTAATAAGGAAAATTCTATTGCAAATATATACCTTGTAAATCGATTGAGGTACGAAAAACTGATGTATATTGTTCATTGACACAATTTCCCTCTTCGCAAAGGTAGTGTTTGTCAAAATAATGCTTTCTCAACCAGTCATATGTCCTGAAAAATATAGAAACATTTCGGTCAGGAAATACAAATACGTATAATATGTCAATCTATTTTCAGTATGTATATGTTACCGGCAAAGACGTAAATTAAGGAATTTTATTAACGTTAATGACTAGTCAAAACGACATTTCCGATCAAATTAGACAGTATACGATATTGACTAGGAAATAACGCTTATGTCCATTATTTTCAGGCAATGATGCATTCAGAAATAATGTATTTGTCAATTTTAATAATTAGAAACGACCTTGCGTTGTAAAGTCGATATAACAATAATCGGTACTAACAATAAGTAACAATAATATACTTTCCAACTCTAGTATGTCGATGGCCGTACATTAGGTACATTTTAAGTGAAAAATAGCTGTATATCGGATACATCATACATAATATATCATCTATACAGGGTGATCCATTTAAAGTAAGACACTTATTATACGAAAAGTAGATGGTTAAACGATAAAGTGTCCTACGTTAAATGGATCACCCTATATTGTAGATTTACAATATAAATATCGCTATTACTTATTACTTATAAGTTATAAGTTATAATAATTGATTAATAATTGTATATTAATTAAATTATAATATTTGTACACATGCATTCCTACCAGCACATTGCATAACATGTATCTAGTATCTACCTATAGTACCTACCTTCAAAGGGTCAGAGTATATCAAATTGTGAAAATAAATTATTCAATTTATTTATTTTATTTATGTAATATTAAGTTTAAATTTGTCTTATATACATTATTAAATTTCTGACCCAATTTAAATATTTTAAAATTATCAACATTGTCAGTATTAGTATTAGATATTTAAGTAATTTCCTTGTCATAGTAGTAAATGTAATAACAATACATTTGAATTTTACAACCTTGCCTATGTTGTCAGTTAATGCCTAGACATTGACGATATTGTCTACTAATGTTAGGAATATATGATAATGGCTAGGCATTTACATTATTACCTAATTTACATCATTGACGGTAACATAATGATATATACTATATAGATCATAAAAATTTAATACACACATGTAGTAGTCTTGAATACCATCAGCATCGCAAAAATGACAAAAAAAATGATCTTTCCTTAGATGTTTATAGAGCTCGTCTTTGTCTAAGTAACGAACTTTACAAAATTGACATTCAGGATGGCCCCGGTGAGATGTATTATCGGGGTCTCCACATTCTTCATGTCTAGTTAACTCATCATAGTTATACCAACGTCTTTGGCTTGGAAATATCTATAATTATTAAAGTAAATACACAATCACAAATTAACTTTTTAGTATTTATACATTATAAAATAGGGTGAGTAGGAAACCACTCCACTGTATACAGACGGAGTCGAGACTTGAGTGTACCTTGTCATAGTAAGTAATGGATATGTTAAATTTGAATTCAATGGCAAAACAAAACAAAAAAAACGATTTTGAACGAAGACGGTCTACCGGCCTATGTTGCTAAGTATATTTTATCATCTATTTATACTGTTATTATAGTAATTTACAGTAGGTTGAATCATTTTTTTTCAAAAACAATGAATTTTTTCACCTATTATTAATATTTAATTATGAAAATAGTATTATATTAAGAGGACGTCATACCCACATGTGTTGTCTCCATTTTACACATGTACGAGTGTACGACGGACACAACAAATGTGGGTGCGATGTCCTCTTAATATCATACATTATTATTATCAACTTTACAGTCAATACCGACTGACTACACAGCAGTGTTAATAGGTTAGTGGTATAAATAGACAATAGCTTAAATTTAATCTAAATATTTTGTAGGTATATAAATTTTAATAAAGTAAAATTTTTAAGTCCCCATGAACAATATTTTTGAATTACAACAAAATACCTAAAATCATTAGTAAAGTATTAGTAATTTTTTACTTTTGATCCTCCCCCCTCACCCCAAGGTACCAACTACATACAATTTGTCACCAAAAGCTACTATCGAAATTAAAAGTCAAAGCATTTATAGTTTTAACTATTCAAAAAGGTGACGACAAACAGATAAAAAAACACATATCATTGTAAAATCAATTCATAGTTTAATATTGATAGATTTAAGTTCCAAAACTATAGAGTAATAAGTAGTTAAAATAATTGATATTTAATTTAAATTACCTTTAAATTATTCACACAAAGACGACAAGCATAAAGACGATGGTTTCGTTCCATATGTTTAGCTAATTGTTCAAATGCTGTAAACTCAGGGCGTTCATAACATTTTTTACAGTAGCAACGCAGTAATTGGTCAAAGGAATTTTCCACAGAAAGATCACCAAATGCAATGCCGTACTTTTTGTTATAACGGGGATATGAACGTTCTTCCAAATTTTTAAACAAATCCACCTCCTCTTTGGTAAAAATAACCTGTAAGAATAATAAAAATTAATCAAGTTAAGTGTATTATACTTGGATTTAATTTAAATCAACTTTGTATATTATTACAAAATAATGTGTTAAAATTCATATTTATAATTCAATGTAAACAACCTACTAATTAATGTATAAGACATATTTTATCAATTATTTGTAAGTAAGATTTAAATACTAGTGAAGAATACTAGCATAGTAGCATTTGGTTTCCAGCTGTGATTCTTCTCTATCTCCTCATGATTATCTGCTGGTGAGTTTATATCTACTACTAAGTATTTAAAATTACGTATGATTCATTGCTATGTACTTGCATTAAATTATATATAATATATATACATATAGAAAAATTGCTCTATGAACTCACCCACATATTTTTTTAGAATGGATTTCATATTACTATTTTAAGCTAGATGCAAACAAACAAATTTTTGTCAATTTTTAAAATAATAGAATAAAGTTGTTTGAACATGGATAAGAGTATAACCATGAGTATGTGTAGTTAGTATAGGTAGTATAAGTAGTTGTAGTACACACTAAACGTTGGTATCACAGTCAACGGAGATGACAGAAATAATATGCCAATTGGTTGTCAACATTTTATTTAATTTTATATTGTTTTATACAGTAAATTTTAAATAGAAAAATAGAAATTTACCGAAAAAGTGAAAAACAATTATAATAGGGCGAACAATGAAACGTAAGTTATAGATTGTTTATTGATGCTGTCGTAGTGTTAACCTAAATAACCACAACAGTTGAAATTTGTATGGAGAGGTCATAAGTCAAAATATACTTAATTAAAATCGAATAATTCAAGAATTGCCTTTATGACTCACAGTAATATTTAGATACTGAAAATAAATGATCAAACATTGTTTATCTTTACTTATCTAGGTATCCAAATTATTTCTCTAAAATATTCCAATGTTAAAAGTTATGCTATTTTATTTTATTTATCCAGTAAATTACTTATTACTGTTAGGTAGATAGCGCCGAGACTCAGTATGCTTATTTGTCTTTGAGATATATTTTCCCACCAATGTCAGAAAAGTCACCAGATATCTACTAATTATTATAAGTGTTAAAAAAATGTATACATATTACTACAACTGATAAGGCTTTTCTAACTCTAAACTCATAATGGTAAGTAGTACATATTCTAATAATAATTGTTAGAATATTTGAATGATACCATCGATATTAGTATACCTATTAGAAATTATGGATAAAATATTGTATTAAAAACCTTGGTCAGTATTCGTCTGCATATCGGACACTCCTTTTGATCGCAGAGCACTCTCATAGTAGTTGAACACTCATAGCATACAGGATGATCACACGTACCAATTGAATAAATTGATTGAATTTTAAAACATATAACGCAACTAGGACCCGATGGTTTGGACGACGCTGGACGCGGTCTGTAAGACGATGGTCTTCGGTCCATTTCTACTAATCAAAAACAATAATCGAATATAATATTATTATTACTAACGAGGTGACCTCAACCTTAAAATGTGTGGTCTGGGTACAATACGATGAGTACCGTCAACTTACCGTGTTTGGCAATTGGCACTGATCAAAGAAAAAAAATTTATATTTCAACGAAATATAATATGTTGCGCGTGTACCTATTACCTAGGAATACAAAAACGTGTACCTACTAATTATGTATACATGTTTATGTGAATGAAGTGAAAGTAAACTGTCGAGAATAATGTTAACGTTTGATGGCAAATTTTCGACAATTTCGAATAGAATAGAATGAAGAATTAAAAAAAAAAATTGATAATTAAAAAAAACCAAATTGATATTTTGAAAATTAGAAAAAAATATATATTATGCAAAAAAAAAAGTAATAATAATAATAATAATCACACGATCACATGTGGCGGTGGAGGACGGTGCCCCGTCGGACGGTTGTGATTCGTTCAACGACCGTTGTTACCACTAAAACCACAAAAATGGTAACGCGATAAAAAGAAAAAGAAAACATCAACAACAACAATCACCGATATATATAAGCATCTGTTTATAATTTATATATATGTGTGACAACGACGGCGACGGTATCACTAATTTCACCACGATCCGCAATCGTGCTTTTCAATTCACCATAGCCCATAGATAATAACGACCGGTCCTAACCAGATGATGGCAGGGAGGGGATGTTCCGCAGATAACGTGACGACAATCGTGTCTGATAACAAACACGAGGTCGGGCGTAGTGCAAGACGTATTACGACTGCCCGCGAGTCTGTTGTTGTTCATTGCGTGGTTTCGACAGTATTCGAATTCTTCGCGTCGACCAACGCCCACGATACGGTAAAAACTCATAACAGAATCGCAGTCAGACACGGACAACGGAACGCCACTGCGCATCGATCACCTGTCGTGCTACTACCCTGTGTCGTCGAGGACGCGAGCACGCGTGTTTGCCGCCGCTGAATGTCATTTGTGGACGTCTGCATGAATGGAAGAAACGTCGTCCAAATTATCGTCCGGCAGCGCCGACGCCGCCGAGTCCGCCGACTGGCGGTTGCCGCTGTGCTTCACGAAGAAGCGTCACACGGAGGAGATCAAACCCGTGGACGCAGTAGTGAACTCATGGCGGCTCAAAGAGCGGGTGAGTTGTGTAATCCGTCGCAGAAGAACATGGTTTTGAATTTTTATCAATGTTGTGTTTTTTTTTTTTTTTTTTATGTTTCGTGGATTCAGATGAAGACTGTGAGTGTTGCTCTTGTCATGTGCCTGAACGTAGGTGTAGACCCACCAGACGTTTTAAAAGTGCAGCCTTGCGCCCGTCTAGAATGTTGGATAGGTATAGATTTCATTACAATCATAATAACAACAATAACAACAGTGTTGATGAAATGTTATCAATATGATGTTTTGGTGTTTATTTTTTTTTTTTTATGATTCTTTGTACTGAATTAGATCCGTTGATGATGGTCCCTCAAAAAGCACTGGAAGTAATTGGAGTCAATTTGCAAAAACAGTACGAAAGGTGGCAGCCAAGAGCCCGGTACAAACAATCATTAGACCCGACTATAGAGGAAGTAAAAAAATTGTGCGTTTCCTTGAGACGAAATGCAAAAGAAGAAAGAGTACTTTTCCACTATAATGGACATGGAGTTCCAAAACCTACAGTAAATGGTGAAATTTGGGTGTTTAACAGGGTGAGTTGATTTTAATTTTCAATTATTATTATTTATGAACTCTTTTTTAATGTTTATTTTTTATAACAATTTTGTTAGACATATACCCAATACATTCCATTGTCCATATACGATCTTCAATCATGGATGGGATCACCATCAATTTATGTCTATGATTGTTCAAATGCAGGAATGATTATAAAATTATTTAGCCAATTTGCTGAACAGCATGAAAAAGAAGATTTGGTATATATTATTTTATTTTGTTTATAATTTTTTTTTAAACTGATCATTAGTTTTGAATTAAACTTTGAAATTAAGATAATATGATAAATATTTATATACTATATAGTTATATAATATTGATTTGTATAGGAAAAAAATAAATTGGCAATTAAATTTGTATGACGTATTGAATTATTGATAGTGTGACAAAGAAAACTGACTAGATAGATAGGTACTTAACTTATGCATTTCCTTTTTTTAATTAGTTATGTACTATTATTTATAATCGTTATAACAAATTTAGACTAGTATAAAATTACAAATTTAACATGGCACCCTTTAGAATGTATGTAACATTATATATTATATTATATTATATTATATTTATTACCGAGATAAAAGCCTATGCTGATTCCATTAAATTCTTAATAATTAGAACTCTAATTATAGGTACAAAGGTTTCATTCAATTATTGGAATGTATTAACAATAAATTGATTAAATTCCATAAAATGATACAAAAAGTATCTAATGTTTATTATTTATTGATCTATTAGGTAATTAAGGTAATTTATCTACTTTGTATGTTTAAAATGTTCCATAATATAATTTAAATATTTATGTATTGTAATGTACCTAAATATACATGTACATAATATAGTACCTTAGAGCTATTGTCATATTTATGATTATGTTATTTTATTTTCTACTTTGCTTAAAAAATAACTGTTTATTTCTAACTTTAAAATAAAAAATAAAATATCTTTTTTTTTCAACTTAAAGTTATATAATATCATACAACCATATTTCATAAACTTGTTTTTTCATTCACATTATAATATGGTAATGAAAACTCAATACACATCTGTGTTAATATTTTTTGCTTTAATTTTCAGCATAATGCTACCCAAAGCCCATTGTTTGCTAGTGCTGAAGGATCTTCTTTCAAAAATTGCATTCAACTAGGTGCATGTCAAATAGATCAAACACTTCCAATGCATCCAGACTTGCCTGCAGATTTATTTACTTCCTGCTTGACTACACCAATTAAAATGGCTGCTCGGTGGTAAGTTGTATCTATAAAGTATTAATTAATATTTAATGTTATGTTCATCATTGATTTTAAAATAAAACATAACTATTCATAAGCCTTTAGTTTATGAAAATCAATATATTTTTATAATTTATAATCAATTGTGATTAATGTAATTATGTACATATATTTAACAAAGGCAGTTCATAATTTTTATCATTTTACATTCAAATTATAATTATATCAATGCGTGACCTGTAGTTTTAAATGGTGGTTTAAATATTGTGACTTAATATTAATGCTCTATGTCTCAATATTCATAAGGAAATTATCTTGTTAGTATTCTAAATTAAAGGAACAATTTTGTACGTCGCGGTCGTCTGAGTTTAAAGTTCAAGTATCCAATAAAAATATTATCAGATAAACAGACATGTTAGAAATTCAATTTATTTCTATAATAATCAATTGACTAAAATGCATTGTAATTTTGTGTTATAGCAATTTTAAATATATCGACAGTAATGCAGACATTTATTTTTATACCTACTAAAATAATATGTCATTAGTAAATAATTTGAATGTTTTCTATATTCACTTATAAATGAAGCATTTGTTTATTCCCTAAATTAGGGTTGTTATTTTTAATTTTGTGATTAAAAAAATTGTACTTGGAAGTAGTGATTCGTAAACTTTAAAGAATACAAATAATACTACTGTAAGTACTGCTAAAAAATAGTTTGTTGTGGATTATGATTTGAAATATAAGGACATACACATAATTATATTTTTATCTAAGTTCAATTGAAGTATTAATTCTTTTAATGTTTTTAATTTTACAGAGGTCAAATTTTATACATTCTGTCTCAGTATCTCGCATAGTTCGCCTGTATTGCATATCTTAGATAAGACAATTTACAGAACACATGTTATTTACTAGTTTTATTTCCTGTTTCATATGAAAATATATTTAATGCTATAACATATTTTAATGATTAACTGTAGAGATAAGATACAATTTCAATCAACAAATAAAATTACTATTTGTTTTATGTTATTGATAAAAAATTGGTTTTTTTAATGTAATCTATCTTTGATAAGCTTATGTTGCGTTCAAAATATTATAATAGTATTAGTTAGGTGCCCATCTATATTCTTTAAAAATATATTCATCTAAAAAGAGTTTTGTATATAAAATGGACATTTATTAATCATTTTAATTTGTAGAAATATTACATATTATTTACAGAAAACTGGCCCTAGTAAAAATTGAATATGTGTAAAAAATTAAATAAAGTTTGTAAGATTTAATAGTAAATACTAAATATTTTTCCAGGTTTGTAATGCAAAATATGTCAAAACATGGTTCACAATTATTTCTAGAACTTGTTGATAAGTTAGTATTGTGTTCAAAATTATTGTTATTAAATATTGTATAGGTATTAATTAATATAATTTTATTTCCATTAGAATTCCTGGTACATTAAATGATCGACGAACAATGTTAGGAGAATTAAACTGGGTATTTACTGCTATTACCGATACAATAGCTTGGAACATATTACCTAGAGGTATGATTGGAATAAAATTGTCAACTCAATTTCTAATATGAAAAATACAGACTTATTATTATTTTTATTATTAAAGATACTTTTCAAACGTTATTTCGGCAAGACTTGTTAGTTGCGAGTCTATTAAGAAACTTTTTACTTGCTGAACGCATTATGAGAACATATGACTGTGAACCAGTATCTTCACCTAAATTACCAGCAATGCACAATCATCCCATGTGGCAGGTTTGTAGAAGATATAAATAAAACAGATTTATTAATGATTGATTTGTTACTTGAGTATTTGACATGTTTGTTTTAATTTATTTGTACAAATTATTTATTTATAAATATTTTGTTGACAGTCATGGGATCATATTTTAGATTTATGTTTATCTCAATTACAACGTGTTCAAGAACAGGGTGATGGTTTTTTTGTACGCACAACATTTTTTGAAGAACAATTGACTGCATTTGAAATTTGG